TAATGAAGATTCTATGGTTTTATTTAGCAAGTAATGTGAGTAGGAAAATGACAATATCTTGGAAAGCATTTCTTGTATAAACACAATTGAAATATATTTTGAGTATTACAGTAGTTTTTTACAATAAAATGCTGGGAGCTTTTATCTAGAGAGATCAGTTGCCAACTGCTAAGATTTTTGTGACTACTTGGATATAATACTGATTTTACAGAAATATTATAACAACATCAGAGTCTTTATACTACAAAGTTATAAAATATTTGTGATAACAAATTTGTCTAGAAGGACTTGTTTCCAGAGCCTTTAGAAAATCCTTTTTGCAATATTCTTTAAATTTAGCTTATTTTTGGGTCCGGGAAATCTAGTAAAAATATTTGACACAAAGAGATTTTATATATATTTGTAGAAAACAAATTTTATAAATGAAGCATTAGCCACACAAATGAACAATTATATAGACTTATATTTATATATTTCAGCAACGTGCTTGAATCACCACTTACAGATGAGATTTAAGATTTTTAGAAAACACACAGGAAAACTGAGCTTTGAACAGTGAAGTTCTGATATCATTGGCTTTTACAAAAATCCTTCCGAGGAAAAAATTGTCAGTTTTATTTTACTCTGAGATATTTTACAAATATGCTATATTATGTTATTCTGGCTACACATTATTCCGCCCCCCCCCTTTTTGTTGGACTCTTTTTTTTGGAAAAGTTTCCTAGTTTCTAGAAAATAAAGTATAAAATGGCCCTTTGTACTTGTAGATTACAAAGAGTAATGTAATGATTACAAGATAAACTTTTTGTTTGTTTGCTTGCTTTTGTAGTCTACAAGTTAGAAAAGAGTTAGCCAGAAGAAATCTAAGCATTTTCAGAAAAGGCCTAAAAAAAGATTTATATGGGTACAAACTAATGGATTACCTTTGTCGCAAATACTTTGATTAAGCACAGTAGTTTTCATTCTTCTTTGAAAATTAAAAAAACAACTCTTCACTGCTACAGAACTCTATTCCCACAACGCACAGCTCTGATCGGAAGTCCATAAAAGGTTCCCAGGCAAGAGTCAGCCGTGTGATTTCAGGGCCTCCTGTCATGGGAGGTGGTTGGTGTTCCTGAAAGATGGAGCAAGACGCGTGCGGGAGAGTTATATGATATGAACATCCACATTATTGTAACCAAATAGAATGTGAGTTTGTTTTTACTGTCAGGTCAGATATTTTTAGAATGACTGGCATTGCCTAAATAGAGAAATTAAATATGGTACAGCATTCCAAAATAGATCACTCTTCTTAGGTTCCTGTCATTTAGCACAGTGTTAAGATGCAGCACACACTTTAGGAATTGCCAGATATAAAATTTGGGGGGAAGGTGTTGCTGGAAAAACTTTGACTTTGTGACAGTGAAAATCAATTGTTTTTGTAATCTGAAATGAGCAATGTGGAAAGCCCACTAATGTGAGCAGCCTTTTGTATTACTGTTATCCTTCCATGTCATTTAATCACAGAGAATGTTGAGAAGAATGTCATTGTTCGGGTGAGAATGTCTTGCTTTGTTAATAATATTCTTATAGATAAAATATCTTGTGTTATGTATGGTTTACACACAATGCTGTATGGGACTTATTAAGGAAGTAAATATTTAAACAGTGGGAAGGGGCTCAAAATGCTTATGAAAAAATAGAATAAAAAAATAATGGAATTTCTTCACAAACTATTTGAAGCTCCCTTGTGCATTTACCATTTTGCAAAACCTATTTTTATGTAGTGATCTGCTGGTTGATATGCATCTAGGGTGTTTAATAGTGTGTCCATGTAAGATTGCCTAGTATGATGAAACTGTCTCATTTTCAGATGCTTTACATGCATACTTTGGAATTTGTGGCCTGTCGCTAATGGAGGAAAGTGGGATTTGTAAAGTACATCCTGCTCTGAATGTGAGCACACGGACTTCTGAACGCCTTCGCGATCTCCACCAAAGTTGGAAAACCAAGGACTCTCAGCACTGTTCAGAGAATGTACACATTTCCACATGATTGATTTTAGACTTGGATGGTGTGGGGGGGTGGGCGGGAGTTTGTAGCATAATTGTAGCCCAAATTCAAAAGCCATGTATAACCAAGTGTGCACTTTTTTTTTTTAAGAAGTGGAGTCATACAATCAAATCTCATACTTATGTCACTTTGGGAGATGGCCTGGAGCCAGTAACCTTTGTGTACTGTGTTTCAAGGAGATCTTTGTTGAAGTCTAACCTGTAGTGGACACTGTCATAGTTCTTAAATGTTTATACTGCATTTCTAAGAAGTTCTTTAAGGCAAATTAAATGTATGTATGTATGTAGTTATATGTAAAAACAAACACACATATACAGGTCAATGCAAATTGAATCATTCTAAAATGGACTCAAATCCTCAAAGCAGTTTACATTTCCTATAGCATTGATAATCTTCCGGTGAATACTTAGTGATTATTTTTAAAAGTTGATTGCTGATGGTAGAAAATTGCTTTTAAAGAATTAAGTGTTTGGGATTATTCTTTGAAAAGAGATAATCTCATGATTTTTCAAAGAATTACTTATTTTGTCTGATTCTTAAGTAAGATGTGCCAATTAAATTTGTATGGCCAATATAAATGAAATGAATAACTTCCTAGTAAAAATCAATGGACTTAACTAATACAATAGTTTTCTAAAGAAAGGTTGTTGTAAGAAGATTCTATTCTGTGATAAAGTCACCATAACTGAGAGAGAGGTAATTTAACTCTGTGTGATTATGAAAAGGAAAAGTGTACTGGGTGGGGTGAATACCAGCTATGTTTGATTTTAATCTTAAATCATTAGTTGCCTTTTTTTTTTTTCTTCTGGAGAGAAAATAATCTTTCATATATTGAAGGGGATATAATTAGTGTTTTGTTTACTTTTCAAAATATATGGTATGTAAATTATATTTGTACTTTTATATCTGAATTATTTTTACTGATTTGGATTATGTTTTAGTTTGCAGTCCTCAGCATGAGTTAGCTGCTCTAATTTCAAACTACTAATTTTCTAATGTTTTCAAATAATGTAAGTAAACAATGTAAATACTAAAATAGAACCACTCAACTAAATTCAATGGTGCAGCACTATACATAGAGTCATTTATATTTTTATATTTTGAGGTAAAAGGGAGGGAGATGCAACCATTTAGGAGTTAATGACTGAGGCTTTACTTCTGTTCATTTTTTTCTTCTATTAATTTTATTAACCAGATAAATGTAAAGGACAGAGTGTAAAGATTCATCTTTATTATTGATCAGTGTGTCAATAAATCCCATGTATCCTTATTGTTCAGTGGCATTCAAAGCATGAGTCTGTTACTAAAATGGTGATGAAAATCTCTTAAGTAAGTTATGGTCTTGGTGATAATAAGTGATAATAAATTAATAAGTGTTGAGTTCTGCAATTTCCAACATAAAAACTAAATTCCTAATATCACTTTTTAGGTAATGCTTTTAATTCTATTTTCATTTCTCCCCAAAGTTAGGGGGAAAGTACCCTAAATAACGTTCCTTCCAAAGGAGACCTAGTGTACATTTTGAGGGGGAAAAACTGAGTTGTTGGAGTGCTTTATATTACATTAGAGTTTGCCAAATTCACCCTCATATATTCTAGACAACAGTCATCAATGGGTACTGCAACCACTGGGAAAAAGACTGATGGAGAAACTTAAAATAAAAGGCCCAGCTGCCACCACTTGAGCCCATCGATTACCCTAGCATCTCTGCAATGGACCAATCAGACGTTATATGCCATTTGAAGTTCACAGTACAATCCATAAAGTATTCTTCAAAAGTTGAGTATGAGTCTCATCAATCTTCTAGATGTAGCTTCCAGACCTAACAACAGAAATGGAAAGAAAAAACACACAGAAGAAAATTATCAGACATAGCCAGAATGTAGGATATCACTCAAGGACAACCTGGTTTCTTCATCAAATCAATGGCTTTTGGGTTTGTTTTTTTGAAGTGGATGGAGATGAAGCCAATTGTTCTCAATTTAAAAGGCTTAATTGATAAAATAAGCAAATATAACTTGAAGACTTTGTTTGGGACCTAATTTAATTAAACACTTGTTTTTCCTCTCACTTAAACTAAACTGGAATTTCTTTCTCTCTTTATCTTTCACAACGTACATGTATAATTTAAAGTGACCTTCTTCACGAAAGAATGAAAAACAGTTAAGACCTGTGCCATCCTCACACTGTTATGTTCGAATCCATTGCTGCAGCTACTGTGTCAGTCTGCCTTGTCGGGGGTCTTCTGCTTTTATGCTGACCCTCTGCTCTGCCAAGCATGTCCTCCCGGGACTGTCCTTCTTGATAGCCCTTCCCAAGTACATGAAACACAGTCTCATCATTCTGACTTCTAAAGAGTATTCAGGCTGTACTTCTTCTACCATTGGTTTGTTCATTGTTTCGGCAATCCATAATACTTTTAATATTCTTTGCAGCACAGTACCCTTTTAAAAAAATAAATCATTTTATTGGGGGGTTCTTACATATAATAATCCATGCATCCATTATATCAAGCAGACAATATACTATTGTTGGCGTCAACAATTTCTAAACATTATCTTCTTGAGCCCTTTGATATCGGCTCTTTTTTTAATCCCTCCCTTCCCCATCCTACAATCCCCGCAAATCCTTATTATAGTATGTATTGTTATTATTTATACATATCTTACACCACCCATCCTATCCCTTCACCAACCATCCTGGTTCTTCTACAGCTGTCCTTGTTCGTTTCCAATATTCACATGCATATGAAGCAGTTGAAAATACTGTGGCGCTGGATCAGGCATACCTTCGTCCCAAAGTGAGATCCTTGCTCCTCAATACTTTAAAGGGTCTTGTGCAGCAGAACGGCCCAATGCAACACATCATGTGATTTCTTAGACTGCTGCTTCCTTTCAAGCAAAATGAAATCCTTGACAACTTTGATCTTTTCTCTGTTTTATCATGATGTTGTTGGACGGGTTGTGATGATTTTGGTTTTCCTTTACATTGAGTTTTAATCTATGCTGAAGGCTTGCAGTCTTTTCTTTCCATCAGCAAGTGCTTCAGGTTCTCCCCACTTTCAGCAAGCAAGGTTGTGCTATCAGTATCTCACAGGTTGTTATAAGCTTTTCCAATCCTGATACTGTGTTCCTCAGATTGTCTAACTCCTCTTACTAGCAGCTCAGCATACAGCTGAACTATGGTAAAATGATACAGCTTTGAAACATACCTTTCCCGATTTTAAACCATGCAGAATTCCCTTGTTCTCTTCCGATGACTGTCTCTTGCTATTGTTCCATATGAGTACAGTGAAGAGTTCTGGAATTCTAATTCTTCTCAATGTTATACATAATTTGCTATGATTCTTAGCAATGCTATGGTCCATGCATAGTTTGTTGTGGACCACAAAGTTCAATACCTTTCCACGTGGTCAATGAAATACACACAAATTTTTTTCTGGTATTCTCTGCATTTAGCCAAGATCCATCTAATATCAGCAGTGATAGCCCTCAGGCCCCTTGTTCTACGTCCTCTTCTGAATTCAGCCTGAATTTTCTGGCAGTTTCCTGTCAATGCACTGCTACAACTGTTTTTGAAATCTCTGCAGTAAACGGCATAGGGGTGCATCTCTAACTTCCTCTGGCTTCACCAAGAGGTAGGGGTCAGACATGCCTTCACACTCTAGCCTTCTTTACATACTCTAATGCCAACCGTTCGTCCCAGAGGAGGAACTACTTCTATATTGGGTTCAGTAATTTGTTGCAGTGGCCATACAGAACTCACAGATTATACAGTTGTGGAGGTTTATTAGAGAAGTTTATAGGTTATAGTTTATAGGTTACCACAAGTCAATGCTCCTCAGCCTCACCCTCTCCTCAGCCAGCAACCAGGTCTGTCTCTGGCCCTCAGTCTCTCAGCCATGTGGTGGTTCCCTTGGCTTTATCTCACAGTCTCATAGTTTCCATGCCACCGTCAGTGGTATCTCGTCTCAGCCTCCCCCCCGCCACACACACACACATCAGACAAATCTGGAATGTGTTCTTGCCATAGTTTTGGCTTTTCCTCTCTCTATTGCTGCTCCAAAGATGACTCATCTTTATAACCAGGGGGTAGTAACAAAAGCTAGTCAGTGTTACACCCTGTTTGCATAGCCCAATCATTTGGTGGGAGGTACAGAGACTTGGGTAGGAAAAAACATGAAGATTTTCACTCTACCCTATCTTCAGAAGTTGACTTGCATGTGATTTAATTATATTGTTCATGAATTTCTGTACTCAGTTGAGACACCTTTCTTTGGAATGGGCACAGATATCGGTCTCTTCCAAAAGATTAGCCATGTTTTATTATCTTCCAGATTTTCTGGCATAGATGAGTGAGTGCTTTCAGTGCTTCTTCAACTTGTTGAACCATTTCAGTTGGTATTCTGTCAATCCAAGGAGCCTTGTTTCTCACTAACATCTTCGATACAGCTTGGACTTTTCCTCAGTAACATTGGCTCTTTGCCACATGCTACATCTTCAAATGGTTGCATGACAGCCATTTCTTTCTGATACAGTGAGTGTGACTTTGTATTTATTCTATCTTCTTTTGATGCTTCCTGCATCATTCAGTATTTTTCACAGAATCCCTTAATATTGTTACTCGAAGCTTAAATTTTTTTCTTTAATTTTTGCTATGTTCTTTCTTTTTGATTTTCTAACTACTAGTCTCTGCATATTTTATTATAATATTCTACTTTGTCTTCTCAAGCTGCCCTTTGAAATGTTTTGCCCGACTGTTTTACTTCATCTCTTCAATTTGCTGTAGCTACTTTCTTGTCTTTATAATGACCTTTGCTACCGTTATGTATTGTATGATCTTGATGTCATCACACAGTTTGTCAGCTCTTGTGTCATTAGTGGTCAGTGCATCAAATCTGGTTGTACTTTGTTTTTTGTGGATTTATTACAATTTTCTTCAACTTACAGCTGAATGGCATATGAGCAATTGATGGTCTGTTCCACAGTTGCCCCCGACCT